TAAATGAATTCCATTTTGATTTTTTATTCACAATGAATTTTTATTCAAACCAAAAAATAGAAGATTTACTATTATGCAATACTGTAATAATTGTATAAATAATATCACCACATTTATGAATGTATATTAGACCCATCAGCTGGCTTGTATTAGATGTGTGGGATCATTTGTTTACTCATAAACATCAGCAAAAATTTAACATTTCTGCTACTTTGAGCTCAGTTTCAAGCCATTTCCAGTACTAAAACCAATCAAAATCATCTCTATTCCTGTATTATGTCTTCCATTCTATCAAATGAGACCAAGAAATCACAAATACAACTATAAAAAGCATGTGAAAAAACAGTGCAAAGTTAGTTTTAATCGAAAATTACAGTCTCAGTTTTTTTCTCTCTCATTATGCAGTGTGCTGCAGGATTTGTTTTATGTGGTGCACACATACCACATAGATGTATTCTCTCATATCTAGGCCCAAATTTACTGCTCACAGCTTATCAGAGTGAGCTGAGCTTATGGCGCAGATCCACGGTTTGGACCCAGAACGTAAAGCTGTAGATCTACGGCACGGACCCTGAAGGGGTTAATATGGCGTCTTCAAGACTAATAGGATACTCTTAGTGATTTTAATGTGTACCTGCATGCCAGCACAATGTGTAAGTTTACCTAGGTACACGTACACATAAGTATAATTATCAGAGTATACAGCCTCTCCTCACTTAACGACAGAGTTCCGTTCCTAATGCTGCGTCGGTAAACGAATTTGTTGCCAAATGAAGAGCATACTATAATGGTAGTAGGATTATGTCAACCATCCTTGATATTGTTTTAATGTCACCTTTGCACCATTTATAACATTTTTAGTATATTTTTAAATGTTTATACAGTAGTGTACTGTATATTGTAATAAACAGAATAGAGGAAATCAGCTGTAATACACATTACATATTTAGGTATGCACACTAGTCAGAGAGCCAGTCATAAGTCCGAGTTGTCAGTAAATGAGTACATCGCTAAACGAGGAGAGGCTGTATATAAAATATGAAATAACTTTAAAACACTTGAAATTTTGGAAAGTTTCCAAACATAATGGAGACACGCAGTGCTTAAGGAGAATGTAAACAAACTGGGTGGCTCGTGTCGTATTAGAAAGAAGGGGAGCTGTAAAGAGACTTTTGCTCATAAATTGAAATCGACATATCAGCGGAACGCCGTAAAGCAAAACGCCATAAAGCGGAGCCCTACTGTATGTATACGTACATGTATATATGTGTATGGATATGTAGACTGTAGTTTTTAAGTGTCCACCAGAGGGCAAGCCTGGAGGGCATGCCACTTCAAACAGCATCACCCTGCCTCTCCCTCACTTAGCGTCCAGGCATCCTAGAGTCAACAAGGCCTACTGCTCTCTCCCTTGCTGGCATGGCCCCTTGGGGCCACGGACACAAACACACTGCCTGTGTACCCATGATTTCGCTAATAAAGTAAGAAGCCTCCAAAGCCCTTTTCATTCCCGCAACTAAACACGACACAATTAACCCATTACAGATATATGACAGCTTAAAAAAAAATCCCATTTCTAGATATAAAGTAGGTTCTTTCTTTCTTCCAACAAACCAGCCATATCCCACCGAGGTGGGGTGGCCCAAAAGAAAAAACGAAAGTTTCTCCTTTTACATTTAGCAATATATACAAGAGAAGAGGTTACTAGCCCCCTGCTCCTGGCATTTTAGTCGCCTCTTACAACACGCATGGCTTACGGAGGAAGAATTCTGTTCCACTTCCCTATGCAGATAAGAAGAAATAAACAAGAACTAGAAAAAAAATAGCAAAAACCCAGAGGGGTGTGTGTATATATATGCTTGTACATGTATGTGTAGTGTGACCTAAGTGTAAGTAGAAGTAGCAAGACGTACCTGAAATCTTGCATGTTCACGAGACAGAAAAAAAGGACACCAGCAATCCTACCATCATGTAAAACAACTACAGGCTTTCGTTTTACACTCACTTGGCAGGACGGTAGTACCTCCCTGGGCGGTTGCTGTCTACCAACCTACTACCTAGGATAAAGTAGGTTATGCAAATAAATTAAGTATTTTAGCATGCATGGTAAAAGTAATTACAGCCTATTGAAAACTATGACATTTATCAGTAATACTCACCTAGTGATGATGGTTTCAATAATTCCCCAAGGATGTCATAGAATGGCAGCTTTTTTAATTTGACATCAGGGTTGATTGGGTAAGAGGAGTTATGACTACTGCTAGTCATTGTTGTATAGCCCACAGCTGTTGACATTCCTGTAGGAGCCACTTGTGATGAGCCGGAGGAATATCTAGTACTGCTGTGTGTCGAGGTTACCCCACCAATGCTTCCCACACTTCCTGCCTGAGTATAACCTGCTATTGTGTTGAGGCCCATTGGAACTTTCTGGGCTGGATGGATTCCTGTTGGTCCACTGGCTGCTGCTTGTGACCTGTCACCAAACGACATCATCTCTAGTCTAAATAAAGAAAAACACAGGAGACTACACATTAGCTTGTGTTTTTTCCAATTTCAAAGAAAAAATATTTGGCAATCTCCAAGCAGGACAGGGATTCCATCTACTATCACTTGTACATACTGTATAAAGGAAAAGTAAAGGTGGTTTAACTACAAATCTAAAGACAGAACTTTGCTACATACACAAGTAACCAACTACAAATCAATAAATATGCTAAGCAATTATTATCTTTCAGACAGTTTAAAAATTACAGCAATATTTTGTTAGAGATATTAAACCAACAGTTTTAGGGTTAAAAACTTGTATGTATATCACAATTTTCTAAACCTTACAAGGATGCTAATAGGCCAATAAGTTTCGTGCTTCAAATATTAATAAGGAAAACCTGGATATATGTACAATACAATCATACAAAGTGTGATTGAAACATTTAAACACTAAATATAAAATGTTGTACATACTCCTACTAAACAAACACCATGGGTTGAAAAAGTAAAAGACATTATCTGAACACCTGCCTTGTGTTGTGATATTCGTAAAATTAATGTGATGCATAATAATCTATTTATTTTTTATTGTTATAATCATGAGAAAGCTCTAAACCCATGAACATACATGCCTAGGGAATGGGAGGTAATCAAGTTTGATCCATAGGAAGGGTAGTCCCAATTCTATGGATAACGATCCCTTCATTGGCATCAAGGCACTCCAGTTGGGTAAAGTTGGCTAGAATTCCCTTTGTTCAGGAAACACTTCAAAATGGAAGGCTGGCATGTCTAGAATGGGTTTAACAAAGTCTGACAATTGGGGTTCATTTCACATCACTGTACATCAGTGATTAACAATACTATATTTTTTTGAACTCATAGTGCACAAAGTACTCCTAAGGAATGTGGATTGCAGCAAAGATTAGATTTTGCCATCGAAGTGGCTAGGAATAAACAAATTCTCCCTTATTATTGTACAGTAATGAAGAAGAGTGATAAGGAAAAAAAGAGAAACAAAACACGAATATGCAACCCCCAAAGAACGACCAAGTCCTGAGATACTACACAAATGTTCCTATAATACATTTCACTTTTGCAATCTTTAGTGTTCATAAAATAGAAACACACTTCAAACTCTTTGATCACACCTCTGACAAACCTGTTTTACAGGAGCAGATATGCCTGCCATATCCTGTCTCGAGTGTATGTTGGAGTAACTAATTTTTTAAGGTTTTCAGTAGTTGTAGCACACACTTCTTGGATCACATTACAACAGTCTTTCCTATTTTTTTTTTTTATTTTTAAGACTTATGTTATTCAATGGGAAGTGTTAAACACATAGCGGTCATATAATACCTGAGAAAAGGGAGGCAAGTGGGTTTCATCTGTAGGAAAGGGTTTCTCAAATCTGTTTTCATCAAGAATCCTTCCTTCCCGGAGAGTTCTGATCAAAATTGAGCCCTGTTGGGACTGCATGTAATGGTGCTACTAGTCTTCTTGTTAATGGTGCTACATGTTTTGTTTCTCTATTTCCTCACTGCCTTTTGTGACCTGTTTATATGTGATTGTCCCCTCTTTCTATCAATGAGCAAAGGCATTTTCATCTTTCTTCACATCTCTCATTTCTCAGTTCTGGCAGCCAGTTTGTAACAAGTCTGGAATTTTTCTATTATATATATTGTATGTTATTTTGTATATGGACACTACACTACTGGTGCACATTCTAGTTTTGGTCTAGTGTACAATACCCTGTGAACAGTTCTTTTATATCTCGCCATGTACTGTACCTAAATGTTGTTTTGAAGTCTGCCAATGTCATGTTAATTTTCAAAATATTCTCATAGTCACTTTTCTACAATGCATTTTCCATAAATTTTAATCATGACCTCGACCTTATTTAAAAAATCCTTAAACAACAATAACTAATGATTTTTTCCCAGGGAGTAGAGAACATTCATATACTGTACACAGAACAGGTGGGCTCCACTTTACAGCACCTCACCTTATGGTGTTTCACTAATGTAGAAGTTTTCAATTATACCCATTCTTCATTTATTCAGACTTCCAACAATAAATATATCCACCACCTCACTATATGCTAAGGACGAAAATACTTTAAGGTAATTAATGTGTGTACTTTATATGCATTTTTTAAGCCGAGCTCTATTGCTTACTTAATATATGATAGTGTAAATAAATTATCAGGCTTTTATATGCATTTGAAAGTGAAACAAGGCTATGTTTCACTTCACAGAAGTAGCCCAAAAGTTAACCTGCTGTATAAGCGGGGCCCTCCTGTATAATATGTATTTCTAATGGCTACTAATTGACATCGTGCCATAAGCAAAATATATTATAAAGCAGATAAATGAATTGTGCATTGTATAGGAGTGAATGGAGACAAATGTTTTTTAGGACTTGAAGTGCTGTTGGAGTGTGAGCAAAGTAATATTTATGAAGGGATTCAGGGAAACCGGCAGGCTGGACTTGAGTCCTGGAGATGGGAAGTACAGTGCCTGCACTCTGAAGGACAGGTGTTAATGTTGCAGTTTTTTAACTGTAGTGTAAAAACACCTCTGGCAAACAGTGATGGAGTGAATAATGATGGAAGTGTTTCTTTTTCGGGCCACCCTGCCTTGGTGGGAAACGGCCTATGTGTTAATAAAAAAAAAAAAAAATAATCTGTTTTTCATATAGAACAGATCCCCAACCAATCATCCAAGTTATGATCATCTGTACTTATAAGAGGTAATTTGCAACCAATGCCAATCTGCAGTAATGCTCATTGCAAATGTTACACTTACTGAATATTTTACATACATTTTGTGCATGTGTTGGAGGGCTCATATTTGTTTGGTAAAGAACTGTAAATTTAATTTTTTTTTAAAGCAGGATTATAAATTCCATTTTGTCACTTTTTACCAAATGCACAGATAGTCTGTACATGTTCATTTCACGTGTGGAGTTCATATTTACAATACAATTTTTATTTCTTTATTAAGTACAAATAACGTAGTTTAGATGCAATAAAACACTGGTAGGCACAAAAAAAGCCACTAGTATGCAATGTATTATGGGAAAAACTAATCCTAATGCTTAACCCTTTGAGGGCCCAGACGTCCAATCTGAGACAAGAAATAAATTTGATATAATATATATATATATATATTATATATTAATATAATTATATTATATATATGTCAACCACCACACACACAACCTACCAACCATCCAACTTATGACCGAGTTCGGTTCCGAGAAACTGGTTGTAAGTCGAAATGGTCGTAAGTCGAACTTTACTACTGAATATCAACAAAAAATTTTTGTAATGACTTTATTTTATTGTTTTATTTTGGTATTTCATGTTTTATTTTACTTTTTATATTGTTAGTACTGTATTTTATACTGTAAGGTTTAGGATAACACTGTGTACAACACAAATAGTTGTTTATTTCCCAGAAATTTAGCATAAAAACATGGTCGTAAGTCGAGTGGTCGTAAGTCGAGCAGGTCGTAAGTCGGATGGTGGTGGTGGTGGTGGTGGTGGTGGTGGTGGTGGTGGTGGTGGTGGTGGTGGGGGGGGGGGGGGTGCGCCTGCATGCGTGCGTGTGCGTGTGTACTCACCTAGTTGAGGTTGCGGGGGTCGAGTCCGAGCTCCTGGCCCCGCCTCTTCACTGATCGCTACTAGGTCACTCTCTCTGAACCGTGACCTCTGCTTAAAGCTATGTATGGATCCTGCCTCCACTACATCGCTTCCCAAACTATTCCACTTACTGACTACTCTGTGGCTGAAGAAATACTTCCTAATATCCCTGTGATTCATCTGTGTCTTCAACTTCCAACTGTGTCCCCTTGTTACTGTGTCTAATCTCTGGAACATCCTGTCTTTGTCCACCTTGTCAATTCCTCTCAGTATTTTGATGTGTATTGGAGACGTGATATGATTTGTTAACTCTTGAACATTGGCAAAATCCGAACGTTTCCCCCTACAAAATCACCTCTATTTCTGTAATACATCTTCAATTCTATCAAATAAGATGAAAAAACAATACAAAAATACACAGCAGTCACTGTTTTAAACCAAAAACATGGTCACAGTTTTTTCTCATTATTCACTGCATGCTGCAGGATTTTTTTTTTTTTTTTGTATGGCACACACTTACCACACACTCATTTTCTCATATCCAGGCCCTAATTTACTGCTCACTGCTTATTTGAGCTGAGCTGAACTCACACCATAGAACAACGGCATAGACTCAGGCTTCAAACCTGTAGAACAACGGCATGGACCCTCAAGTGGTTAAATGTTTACGAGATTTAAACAGACTATTCAGTAGGTTTCTTACACAGTTAACTACAATCATACCATACAGTAAAAACTAGTGAAGAACTGCAGATTTAACAAAAACATGGTCTACAGTTGTTCCTGTTTAGTTAGTGTTAGTGGTTGAAGGGCCGCTGATAAATAATAAGATTCAAAAAGAAAACAAATACAGGAGGGCCCCGTTTGTAGAGATCTTAGGTGCCTGACCCCTCATGGTAAGCAAAAATCGCCAGCGGATGGGAAAAAAAAAAACGGTTTTTCCATTATCGAATGCATCTAAAACACCTGATAAAAGTCTTTACACTATCAAATACTAAGTGCTCAATACAGCTAGGCATAAAAAACAGATAAAGTAAAATAAATAAACAGTATAATTACATACAATAAATAACAAAAAAAGGCACAATACCGTGACTGGAACGATACACAAATAACCCGCACATAAAAGAGAGAAGCTTATGACGACGTTTCGGTCCGACTTGGACCTCTGTGCGCTTCCTCTCCCTCTGTGGGCACCTAGCTTCCTTGCAGTACTCCCCTTCCTTTGTATTTGACTGGCTCGTCCTCCTTATTCCCCACTTCTACCACTACTACTACCTCTTCTACTACTGATGAAATTAAGACACACGTGCGGCGTCTGGGTGTCTTTGTTGTGGACGTTTCGCCATCCAGTGGCTGGCTGGATGGCG